TAGCATGGTAAATGGTTTTCCACCCCTTCACTTTAAAGCTGGAGGTGCCTGTGAGTCTAAAATGAGTGTCTTATAGACAGTATTTTTTAATCCAATCTGATACCCTGTGTCTTCTGATTGGGGCATTTAGCCCATTTACATTCAGGGTAACTGTTGAAAGAGATGGACTTAGTGCCATTGTATTCCCTGTAAAGTTACTATTTCCGTAGATTGTCTCTGTTCCTTTCTGGTCTATGTTACTTTTGGGCTCTCTTTGCTTAAAGAGAGTTGCTCATAATATGTTCTTATAGTTGTAGTTTTTTGGTGTTGGTTGTGATCTCTTCTCTTTCATTCTTTTTCTGCTGGGCTAAATGAGGCAGAAGAGAGACTTGGTGCTACAGAAGACAAACGTTGGAGAATAAAGAAACTGAGAAAAAGAGAGGTGAACATGTACTGGATTATGAGGGGAAGATTCAAGAGATTGTATATACTTTGTATTTCTTGCAGGGCTGGTTTATTGGTCACAAATTATTTTAGTTTCTGTTTGTCCTGGAAGCTCTTTATTTCTCCTTCTATTCTGAATGACAACCTTGCTGGATAAAGTATTCTTGGCTACATGCTTTTCTTCTTTAGTGCCTTGAATATATCATACCGGACCTTTTTGGCCTGCCAGGCTCCACAGATAGATCTGCTGCCAGCCTTATGTTTCTAGCCATGCTGTTTAAAGACGTCTTGTCCTGAGCTGCTTTCAGGAACTTTCTGTTTGTCTTTGAAATTTGCAAGCTTCACTATTACATGTCAAGGTGTTGACCTATTTTTACTGATGGGGAGGGGGTGTTCTCTGTGCCTCCTGGACTTGAATGCTTGTTTCCTTCCCCAGATTAGGGAAGTTCTCGGCTATGATTTGTTCAAATATATACCTTCTGCCCCTCTCTCTTTTCCCTCTTCCTTTGGGAGCCCAACTATTCTAATTGTCCCACTTTCTGGCATCACTGATCTCTTGAATCTTCCCCTCATAATCCAGTACATGTTCACCTCTCTTTTTCTCAGTTTCTTTATTCTCCAACGTTTGTCTTCTGTAGCACCAAGTCTCTCTTCTGCCTCATTTAGCCCAGCAGTGAGGGCCTCCATTTTTGTATTGCATCTCAATAATAGCTTTTTAAAAATTTTTGACCTGATTAGATTTTAGCTCTTTCATTCCTCCAGTAAGGGATTCTCTCGTGTTGTCTATGCTTATTTCAAGCCCAGCTAGTATCTTTGTAATTGTCATTTTGAATTCTAACCCCGACACCCTACGTATCTCCATGATGTGCAAACCCCCAGCTGTCAGTACTGCCTTTTGCTCTTTATGGGGTGAGTTCTTCCATCTTGCCGTTGTGTCTTGCAACAAGTGGTCACTTTTCTATGTGTGGAATTGCAGCAATTCTTTCCGTAGATGCCTGTTGAGGTCGCAGGTGTTCAGAATGGTTTGATAACTCTCTAGCGGAATTCCAGGGACTGGATGAAATTAAGGTTCCCTACTCATCCACCATCTTACCTCTCTCTCCTGGAGAATGGATTTTGGAACCCAGCCTGAGTGGGCATGCTAATTGTGCTGCAGTGTCATTGCTTCTAGGATTTCACAGGGAATGCTTTAGAAAGTGTGCCCCCACACCTCCCTCACTTGTGGGTATCACATGCACAGATGCACTGAGAGACGTATGATCACAAGGTCATACCGAGAGCTCCAGTTCCAGACAAACCGCAGTTTGCATCCCTCTCTGTTCCTGACAGGAACTCAGCTTCCTTTGTCCAGAACTTGTTTGCTCACTGGCTCTGTCCTAGCAGACACAGACCCTTGTCTCAGGACTGCTACCGTTATGAGAATCCTGACAACTTACGAGTTCCATATCTGCTTGCCATTTTTCTTTAGTCCAAACACCATTCTCCAGAGTTGCATAGGTTCGTTTTCTTTTTTCTTGCTGGTTGTTTTGTTCATTTGAAATACGGTTTTGTTCATTGAGTTTCAATTGTTTTACAAGTTTGCATTCAACCTTGTTGATTCAATCTGTTGTTAACGCCAAAAAAATAAAACTGCCCATTATTTTACCAGCAAAAATGGTTTCTTTGGGAATAGCAATCTGAGACTTGCAATCTGAGACCAACAAGCTAAAGGGAAACTCTGCACGCACAGAGACCGAAGCAGAGGCAACCACAGAGGGGACCGTGTTTTAAAGGAAAGGCTGCTCTCCCACAGTGCTGGGGGAAACCGGTTGGAAATGTGACCTTTCATTGGCTGGGCTGGGACAGTCTCTCATTAGCTGCTATGACATTTCTCATTGGCTGGGCCGGGACTGTCATTGGCTGCGCTGTTGCTGGGTGGGAGGAAGCTTTCCTTCCTCGCTGGGGCGGTGGACCAGCAGCATCCTCCTGCAAGGTCTGCCTCTTCCTGCCCGGTCATGGACCCCAGTGCAGCCCCTCCCTGCTCCACGGGGCCTGGCAGAAGAGGGCAGGCCTGGGCAGGGTGCCGGCTGGGCTGGCTGCGAGCACCGCCTGCTGCCCCAAGGCAGTGCCCGGCAGACCCCGCAGGCACTCCTCCGGCCCCCACCACCACGCCCACTGCTCGCCCTATACCCTGGATCGCGAGTTCTAGAGTGTCACCGCGACAGCCCTCGTCCACTGTCTGCCGCAGCCAGACCTGAGTTCCGAAGGGTGCGGGAGGACGGCCCGGTGCCGGGTAAGAGCTCATCAGCGTCCAGGACGCCCACCAGATCCAGACTGCGCTCCGCCCTCCCGGCCTCTTGGCAGGAGGCGGCCCGTGGGACCGGCTGGCAGTCACAGTGCCCGTTGAGCGGGACTCTTGCTGTGCTGCTGGAGGAAGCCCCCTCCCTCTCCTGCGCACCAGGACCCCTACCCCTGAGAACCCAGAATTGCCCGATGAGAACACACTCCTCAAGGGCGTGCTCCGCGTCCCCCCGGCACTGGAAGGGCTCAGGACTCAGCCAGAGACCGAGGGAGCAGCGAGGCATGCACCGGCCGCCCCGGTCTCCATTTTCCCGTGGCGGGGACCCATGTGGGGGCAGCTCCAGTCCTGGGGCTCCGGCAAGGAGATGCCTGCCTTGCCTCCTGCCTGTACCAGCTTGGGCACCAGGGAAAGGACTCCCCGAGCTGGCAGGGCACCCTGAGCTCCAGCCTCCTGCTGGCCGGGGGGGAAGGGAGCTGGGAGCAGAACGAGCTGCTCGGCTCAGTTCTCAGGCTGGACTCGGGCTGGACTCGGGCTCGCTGGCCCGAGGGGCCCTTCTTCACTCCCTCAAAACCCTGGGCCAGGGAGGAGCCGGAGATGGTGTCGAAGCAGAAACAGACCCGGGTAAAGTGGTCACGAGGAGGGGTGGAGTTTGCAGAGGGGAAGCCGACCGCCTGCAGGACGGGCAGCCACAGGGGGCTCAGGGCTCCAAGGGCTGCGGGAGAAGGGGGAAGGACGGTGGGGAAGGGCTTGCAACGGCTGGGACGTGGGCCTGCAGCCGGGCCTGGCAGGCTGAGAGCAGAGCTGTGGGGTGTGTCCCTTGGGGTAAGGACAGGCCTGTCCGTCCTGTCCCATGACTTTCCTCCAGAAACCTCTGACCCGTTCACCCCCGGACTGGCGAAGAGGGGCCGCGTCTCGGGCACAGAAAATAAATGTCTCTATAGAGTCCGCGGGCGCGTCTGTCGAGGACGTGTGACACGGGCGTGTGTGGTTCCCCTGTCCCCAACCCCGTGTTGTCCCCGCCCCCAGTGTTCCTGCAGTCCTGGCTGAGGCACTGTGCTGCTCTCTGGAGCCCTTTGGGCGTCCCCTCTGGCTGTGGTGAAACCCTCAGATCGGTGGTTCTCAGAACGTGCCTGATGGGATGGGGGCAGGGAGTGCACAGAAGGACTGGAAAGGGCTAAAATGCGGGGGCGGCTCGGGGGCGGCGCACGGCACGTGAGCCTTGTAAAACTGTGCTTGGGAGGGTGTGACACGTTGAGTTCTGTGGTGCCCTCAAAGGTCACGAAACGGCTGAGATGTGACCAGCACCTCACCGCACCTTCTGGGCTGGAATTCAAGTGTCCTCCTTGGTGAGCCCAAGGACACCCGGGCCGGGCGCGCTGCTCCAAGGGCACCGGGACATCGCGCTGGTCCTCACTGCCCAACCTCATGCCATGTAGACACTGGGATGAGGCACTGTGGTGGCCACAGTGGCCATGGGCAGGCAGGACAGTGACCTAAGTGGACCCTCAGGTGGGACTCTCTGGGGGCGCTTTGGGCGGATGGGTGATGGTTAGAGCGGCCGCATCCAACGCAGGGAATGTTGAATGAAGGGAGGGAGGTTGTACTCTGAACCCGTCCCTGGACGTGACCCCTTCCCGAGGCCCTGGCCTGGGGCCCCCCGCTCCCCTGAACAGCCCAGCACTGTCTTAGAGGACAGTGTGTGGCCTGCTATGCTCACTGTCACTGGGATGTCACTGGATTGGGGATCCTCAGGGACAGAGTGGGGACTCTGCTTCAGAAACGAGCCGAAGGGCGTCTTGTAAGACAATTCTGGGACCACACCAATCCCCAAAGTAAGGGCAGTAGCAGATTGGAACGCACTGCTGAACTAGGCAGCGAGGGGTGCCACGGGGCGGGCTACAGGGCTCGGGGAGGCTGTCTCGCCCAGGGACGCGGACTTGCCGGTGCGCAGAGAAGGGTGGTCACGCCACAGGCTGGGAAGCCTCAAAACTCACCGTTCAGGCAAAACTCATCTGTGAGCGGAAGTTTCAGGAGAAACAGGTTCTCCCATACTCTCAAAGCATCTGCAAGTACAGTTTCTAACAACAAATTTTTAAAAATGTTTATTGGTTGAGTAATCTTAATCCCATTGAGAAACCATTTATGGCCTGTGTATCACGCCGGATTCGTGGTCAGTCCCATCGCCGTGAGGTAGGTGCCGGCAGGCCCATCCTGCAGATGGGCAAGCTGGGGCTTAGAGGGCTGGGGGGGGTGACTGGAGCCTGGAGCCAAGAGTGGGTTGTGGCTGGGTCTTCACCTGCGCAGAGGTGAGAGGGGACCTCTGGGCCCTTCATGAGATGGATGGGATATGGGTGGGGTCCCCAAGGACCCCTGAGCAGGGCCGGTTTTGCTGTGTTGGGTAGAGTGTGAAGTCAGCCCAGGGAAGGGCCCCTGGGGACCTGGCACCTTCTAGCAGGCACAGCCTAGGATGGCTTGGGTGTCTGCCTCCAGGATCCAACAATCCGTAAGTGGGTCATTCCGTCCCAGGGGACATGGACGTTGTCTCCTCCATAGCCACTGTGGTGACGTCTGGTGGGGCCCGCGGGACCTGGACGGGCAGACACGGCATCCCCTTCTGTGACCAGCTCATACATCCAGCACCGAGACGCTGCCCGCCCCGCGTCCAGCCGGGGGCCCTTTTAGTGCTCAGGGTCAGTCGGGCTTCTCAGGCAGGACAGGGGCCTCCCTTCCCGGGTTGGCCTGGTCTCACTCTAAGGACTCAGGGCTCTCCGAGAACTGGACCCCCCCCACCTGCCCCAACAGCATCACCTCCATTGGGCCGGTAGGGGATGATCCGGGATACCTGGTGAAATACTCCCGCCTTCGTGGGTCCCCCTGAAAAACAGAGTCACGTCGGGGTCAGTCTCGGCAGTCTCACAGCGACGGGGCTGGAGGGACCGGAGCTCCTGTCTTCTCCCTGTGTGGTCTTCCTTGAGAGAAGGACCCTCTTGGAGAAAGGCCAGACCCATGTGGACAGGGCTCCTTGCTGGACTTGTCCAGTTGGGGGAACAGGACATGGGACAACGTGGGGACACCTCCTGCCTGAGTCTCCAGCTGCCAAACCCTGTCCCTAACTCACTCCAGTGTGATGTCACCCACGGAAAGGGAGTAAGCACTTCACAGAGGACGGTCGCCCACCCTTCAAGGAGCAGGTGCCCCAGAATTGGGAGAGAAGGAATGAGAACTGGCCCCTGGCCAGCCCGCTCAGAGCCTGGGGCCCTGAGATGTGCCTGCAGCCTGGGGCCCCGGGGTGAGGACCCAGGACACATTAGCTGACAGTGGCCCGAGATGCTGGCTGACCTTCCCCATTTGGACTCTACTGGGTGCCTGCTCCCTGTTGGGCAAGCACAGGGCTCCCCAAAGGCCAGAACCAGGTCTACAGAGCCAGGGCCTGGCCCGATGTGGAGCCCAGCGCAGGCAGGAAGGAATGAGTGAAGGTTGTGTAGCCTCTGGGGGGACTCGGCCTTGCCCACGGCAGGGCTGCTGTGGCCCCTCCAACCCAGCCCTGTGCTCTCCCCACGCTCTCCACCTGCCCTGTGCTTCTCTGTCCCTGAAGGCAGACAGGGCCTTGGAGTTCATAGTGGGGAGTGGGCATGGGGACTACATGGCAGGAGGTTCCTGGCGCAGGGGGCCCTGTCTGCCTGGCCCTCCGCCTCCAGAGATCCCATGACACCAGGACTCCCACTCAGCGGGAAGCACCCCCAGGCCGGCACAGCCCCCAAGAGGAGCCAAGGAGTCCCGGAGACGCTCCTGCCGGCCACCTGTGCCCATCAGAGGGAGAGAGCTAGGAGACGCCCCGACGGGACCCAGCACGCAGCTCACCGGGCGTCCGTCTCCTTCTCATCCTTATCCCGAGGACTAGGAGGCAGAACACCCCTGCGGCTACACAGACGCTGCCCACCACAGCGGGCAGCAGGGAGGAGCACGTGACGTCTGAGCTGCTGGTCCCAGGCTCCACTTGTGTCTGCAAAGGGCCGTCGCACCTAGGAGAGAGCAGCGGGGAGGGTGCGAGCTGCTCGGCGGGGGCCTGGCACTCAGAGCCTGGAGGGTCCCCGAGGGAAGGTGGCTGCCCGTGGCGCGCGCTCCGGCGGCTCTGGGTGGGAGCTCCCTGCTATGGGCAGACGGAGGGAGGGAAGAGGTGGGAAAACGGGGATGCCCAGGGAGAGGGACGGGGACAGGGATGGGGGCAGAGAGAGCCCAGATCAGGGGGGCACAGAGGGATAACCTGGGAGAGGCAGGATGGTGAGAGGACCCGCCCCGCCCCCCAAAGCAGCCACGTCTTGTCACCCCAGGTTCCCCTCAGGACCCAAGGATGAGCATTTGGGAGTCCTGTCACCTTTCAGGTTCCCTGAGAACCTCGTTGACAGCCCTCCCCTGACTCCAGATTTGCTAGGAGCCCCCACAACCCTGGCATCTGAGGATACCCCAGAACCACAGGCGCCCCAGAAATCTGGCAGCACTCCCTCCAGATCTGCCCCAGGACAGAAGGTCCATCCTTGGCCTCCGGGAAGCTCACATCAGCTACCGTGCTGGGGGCGTGAGCCACGGGGTCCAGCAGCTGCTGTCCTGGAGGCCGGCCCATGAAGGGGAGCAGGGGGAGCCCTGGAGTTTCTGCTGGAGGAGGGCCCTTATCTGCCAGGGGAGCGTGGAGGAGTCCCCCCCCCCGGGGGGACACGGAGCTGAGACCACCCCAAGGTCACCTACGTGCTCCAGGGCTGGCACTCCTCCAGGGTCCCACTGGGTGAGAAGGTCCCAGGAGGGCAGTCTTCACACACCCTGTCCTGCCGCTCCGTGCCTGGGAAACAACAGGGCCAGGCAGAGGGGAGGCGGGGCGCCCCGGCTAGGAGGGAAACTGGGTTCCCCCCCAACACACATGGGCTTGGGTCCAGGGTCTGTCTTTTCGGAGGGTGCCAGGGACCAGGCTGCTCAGGGGCTGAGCAGAGAGGCCAGGGGTCGGGGCACCCAGGGTCTGCGGCTCACCTCTGGCCTGCACCCTCTGGCCAGGTCTGCAGGGCGTGTGGGGACTGCACTCTGCACAGTCGTCCCCATCCTCACTGACGCAGAAGTGGCCCTGGTCACAGACGCACACAGTGTTCTCTGTCTGGGAGCACTTCTGCCTGGTCACCAGGCCCATGGCTGAGACCCAAGAGAAGGAGCTGAGAGCAGCTGCATGGGCTGCCATGGGCAGTGCTGAGCCCCCCATCCCGGGAGGAGACCAAGTAGAGGCCTAGACAGCAGCCGCAGGCCTTTGGGCTCCTATCTGGGGTCTGGGGACGGGTTGGTGACCAGCTCCCTCAGCCCAGCCTTGCAGCCTGCTGGGTGTGTGTCTGGGTCCAGCTGTGCTCCTGCTGGAGGAACCGGCCAGGTGCACGCCCTGCTCAGCCCAAAGCTGGGCCTGCGGGTGCTGGACGTGGGTGTGTGTCCCAAGGGGCTCTGAGGGACAGGAGCAGCAGCAGCCGGCTGGACAAGGAGGAGCTGTCAGGAGGATGGTGAAAGGCTGTCCTCAGGAGAGGAGCCAACCCGCCGGGAAAACAGCCTCGTCCCCGCTGGGGAAACGGCCTCGTCCCCGAGGGGCCCACACAGGAAGTGAAAACCACAGTCAGCGGAGGGGGCAGTCCCAGAAGGCAGGTCCCAGCCCAGGCCGCCCATGCCTGAAGACCCTAACCCCTTGGGCAGGCTCCCATGCTGCAAGCAGGCTAGTCAGAGCCAGGCGGACGGCGAGAGCCCCTTCCCCAGCTGGCAGCGGGGCTGGGGTCATGCCGGGCCTGGGCTCAGCCTTGAGCCCCTGCTGAGGGACAGCCTCTCAGCCATCCACACCCCAGCCTCTGCCCCATAAGACAGGTGATTCCTTCGGGGCATCGAGGATCTATGGGTGAGCCGGGGGCTCCAAGACCTTGCCCCTCCCTTCCCCCCGGCTGGACCCAAAAGCATTGAGGCTTCTCCTGGGTCCTGCCTTTCCTCCTGGGGCACCTCCACCCCAGACCACCTGGCAGGAAGAACACAAGGGTCCAAATGCTGAGCCACAAGCAGGGGCCCTCAGGGGTGTGCTGTGGGGGTGTGGACACTGAGGGCAAACAAAGTCCAGTCCCCCAGGACCAGTGGGACGGGTGAGGCAGGACGGGACCCGTGGCTCGGGAGTCCACGTGACGGCTTCAGGGTGACGGGCTCCCCGCGCTCTGGACAGTGCAGCAAACGGTGCTATGACAGTGCTGGCCCCCGGGGAGGCAGGTGTGGACAGAGGCGCACGTCCCTGGAAGGGTTCACGTGCAGACACCTGTCCTACAGACGAGGTGGGATGCGGCACAGCGGTCCCGGCCCTGTGGGTGCCCACTGCAGCGGGCCGTGGGTCCCCAGTGGGGTGGTGGCTGTGGCCAGGGCTCCTACCTGGGTCACACACTCGGCACTGTAGGCACTCGCTCAGGCCATTGAGGTGGGCCGTGTAGGTCCCCGGGTCACAGGGGGCACACACCGTGCCAGTCAGCTCCCCACAGGCCTCCTTCACCCGGTAACCTACGCCCAGGGGGAGCTGTGTCACTTGGGCCTGGGGAGGGCCCTGCGGGAGCCACCCCGCCTGCCACCTTGAAGCCCCCAGCATGCCCTGGGACTGAAAGCCACCTGAGCTGTCCCCCACACCACCCTTCGTGTCCTGCTGCCTCTCACCCAAGAGGGCAGAAGGCAGTGGGAACATTCTGGAAGGAGGTGGAGGCCTCCTGGTGTCATGTGGGCATGACTGTGCCCCAGTGCCTGCTCTGGGCCCCGACTTCTGGCCGTAAGTGGGCCAGCTGGGCCCCCAGGCCACATCCCTGTACCTTGCAGCTGCGAGGGTCCTGGGAGGGAGAGACTCAGCCCTCCCCGTCTGTACCCTACCCCAGGGCTTCAGCTGAGCCCGGGCACTGGAGCCTCATCCCTCTGGGGCAGCACCCACCTGGGCTGCACTTGGGACAGCATTCAGAGCCCACCGGGTACTCCTCCTCTTTGCACGGGGCCACGGCCAGAGCACAGGGGAGGGACCCCAGGAGCAACAGGTACAGGGCCTGCAGGACACAGGATCCGCGCTGGAGGGGAGGGGCGGCCAGGGCTGCCCTTGGGGCCTGGGGCTCACCCCCGTGAAATGGGGCAGCAGCAGCCCTTGGGGAGCCGCAGGGTCGGAGAAGAACGGTCAGAGGAGTCACCGGCCTGGCAGCGGAGACGGGGGGCTTCAGGCCTGACGGGGAGGGGGCCTCTCTGGGGGACTCTGGTTCCAGGGCTGACTCTGTCGGGCGGCGCCGGAGGCTTCCTGTGGAGTAACCAACGGCCAGTCCCGCAGCCTGTGCAGCAGGGTCAGGGAGCCGCCCTCTCTGCAAACTAAGGTTTTATCTAATCAAGTGTGGGCCAGGCTGGGGTGGAGGGCGGAGGAGGTTGGCCGGGTTCCCTGACGACCTGCTTCCCGTGAGCAGCCTCCAGGACTGGCCTGAGGGCCTGGAAGGGGGTTGGGGGAAGGGTGTCCGCCGAGGACAGAAGCATTTCAGCGGCTGCTCAGTATGGCTTCCCGCCACTCTACTCCCCCACTCTCGGGGATCAGGGCACGGGGGCCAGGGGCTGGGTCAGCGCAGAGCGACAATGCCCATGTGGGACCAGGAGCAGATGGGGCCCAGGGCAGGGTCCGCGGAGAGAGCTGGGCACCTCGGGAGTCAGGACAGGGCACACCAGGAAGCGCTGGGACACACACACACACACACACACACACACACACACACACACACAGGCTCCGGGACTCACCTGGCTCAGGGCGTCAGGCTTGGGTGCCCGGCTGCAGGGGGGCGGCTCCCAGCCTCCAGGAGGCTCCATGTCCCTCTTCAGGGACCCTCATTCCCTGGCTGCTGTCCCAGCACCCCTGCCAGCAGGCGCAGCTTGTGTTCAACCCGGAACCTGCCTCGTCCAAACTGAAAGGGAAAGAGAAACTGGGGCCCCCCGAGGGAGGCTCGGCTGTTGCGGTTGGCTCAGTCCGTCCCCACCGGGCTTGGTCGGGGTCAAGCTGCCTATGGCCAGGACCCCACAGGAGCCCACAGGGATGGGAGAAAGGGGGCGCGGGGCCAGCTGTGCAGGAGGCAGGAGGTGACCACAAGGCAGAAGAGCTCGCAAAGGGAGGGGCGGCCACCAGGCGGGACCACAGAGGCACAGCCGTGGGCACAGCTCCTCCTGCCCCACTCGGTGAGCCCCGCTCAGATCTGGCTGAGGAGTTTCTCCTGGCCTCCCTGTCCCTTAGCGGCCCCCTGACTTTGCTGTAGAGCTGCCCCCCCAATTGTGCGTCTGCGTCTCCTCGGCTGCCCTGACACCCGGGGAGCCCCCCGGCTGCTCCCCCCCAGCACCGGCACCAAGGCCACAAGAGGAGCCCTCCTGCTTTCCTGCTCCCTGTCACAGCGTCTACGGAAGCAGGGTGACCGGCCCCCCAAAGGACCCCGTCTCCCACGCAGTGCCCTCTGTCAGGGATGGGGGTGCTGGTTTCCACCTACACATTCCTGAGCAGAGCTCAGCACAAGGGGTCCCTCCCCGTGGGAGAGGACGCACCTTCAGTGCTCCCACCCAGGGTGAGAGTGACAGTTTGCTTTCCCTGAGCTGCACCTACTGTCCACACCCCACCTGTCCCCAGGATGGGGCTGGGCTGGCTCATTCCTGCTCCCATCTCACAGATGGGCAGGTGGGTCAGTGGGCTCAGAAAGCAACAGGGCAGGGTGCCTGGGTGGCTCAGTGGGTTAAGCCTCTGCCTTCGGCTCGGGTCATGATCTCAGGGTCGTGGGATCGAGCCCCGCATCGGGCTCTCTGCTCGGCAGGGAGCCTGCTTCCTCCTCTCTCTCTGCCTGACTCTCTGCCTGCTTGTGATCTCTCTCTCTCTCTTTCTGTCAAATAAATAAATAAAACCTTAAATTAAAAAAAAAAAAAAAAGTAACCCCGGCCTGGCCCCGGGTCTCTGGAGTGCAGACAGTGCTCAGACCGTAACCCTAATCTCCCCATGCAGAAGGGGCTCTCCCCACCTGGGCTTCCCCATACCACTGCGGCCCCCAGAGGTGGTGACCTTGTGGGCAGCTTAGGGGTGGGGGACCCCCACGTGCCTGGGGCCCCAAGACGCAGGCGGGGAGGCTGGCGAGAGGCAGCGCACCCCTGCTGACGCCTCAGATGGGACGTGTCCTGACGAGTCTCCCCTGGAGCCCCATGGCTCCCACGTCCCCGCTCAGCCCCGGGGCTCATGCAATGGGCATGAAACCCTCTGACTTCCCTCATCCGTGAGGCTGCAAATCCATTAGCTGTGGCGGCTTCCCTCCCAGCAGACCCATCCCGACCCGGCTGTGGGTGTCCAGTTCCACGGGCCCCGGGCAGGTCCCCATCAGATCCTGAGGTCGAGCCCTCGCCAGGACCAGGAACCACCCCCCTCAGTGGCTGACTGCTGGTGGCCCAGCGCGGACCGACCTTGAGCCCCTTCCTTGTCCTGACCTTGGCACCACGGGCCCGGGGGTCTCTACCTAATCCCAGTTCCTGGGGACACTGAGGAGGACAGCCTCCTTTGTGCCAGGGAAGGAAGCAGGCAGGGGTGAAGTCAGGGGGGTGGGGTGGGGGTCCTTACCAGTCCCCAGGACCAACCCAGCACAGCCTCCGAGGCAGGGCGGGGGTCCGGCGGGACCCAGGCCCTTGGGAGACCCACCAGACCCCACGAGCACAGGCCATGCCCCGACACCCGAGGGCCTGTCAGAGGGAGCCCCCACCCTGGACGGTCACTCCTTGTTGTCACCAGGGACACACAGGACGGCTGCACTCTGCCTTCTCATTTCCACACGGTCACTGGATGTCACTTGACAGATCGCTGAACAGACCACGTCCAAGGGGGGTGTGCGGCCCCGTTCCCGAGTCTGACTTTACAGGGGACGCTGCCCGGCCTGAGATGCGCCCGACTCCCCCCTGGCTCGCCCATCCGGCCGACCAGCACTCACGGGGCAGCTTCGTGTCCCGCGAGCGGCCCGCTGGCCAACGTCCCCTGCGGGTCCTGCTGGGACCCTTCGTGGGGACCCTCCCTCTGCCGGATGGCCGGGGACCAGCGAGGCCGGCGGCAGGGGGTCTGCAGGACCATCAAGACGTCCGCTCTGCGGGTACTGGCTTGAACCAGTTGAGCAGGGCGACCTTGGAGATGGTCTGGACCTGCCCCTCTTTGCTCCAAGAGGCCAGGGACATGCCTCATGCTCTCGGGGCGCGCGGGCTGTCGCCCAGCAAGCCAAGGGTGGCCCCATGCCCGCTGGGAGGGAGGAGTCCCGTGAGCACCTCGGGTCCTTCTGAAACAATGAGCAGCGACCCGGAGCGAGGCGTGCGGGGGGACGCGCTCCTGTGGGACTCTGACCTGGGACTCCGCCTGTGGGTGAGACCCCACCTCTGCAACGGGCGTGCTGAGGCCCACCCACTCGGAGAGGCTGGGACTCCGGGGGTGGCTGCGGGGACCCCAGGGGCAGGGGCTGCATTCTCCTGCTCACCACTCAGTAAAAGCCCCAGGCCCACTCCCAGGCCTCCAGTCGCCTTGGTAAAGTCGGTCTCCGAGGACGCCCATGGGCCCCCTGCTCCGTCCGGCCTGGGGCAGCAAACCCGTCTCCTCCTCCCCTGCCTGCAGCCTCCTTGAAGCTCCAGCGCCAGCAGCCCTAGAGAGAGATGCAAGGGACGCGGACAGGAGTCCCTGACCTCACGCTCCTCCTTCTAGGGCTGTCCCTGAAACTGGCTGCCTCCGTTGTGGGGTCTCCGCTCCCCAGGGCTGGCAGCCCCCTCCACACAGCACCATCCCTGGCCTCTGGGGGCTGCACTCCCCGGCTCTGGAGCCGTGGGCCGCCCCGGATTCTTCCTTCCCCGGTGGTCTCCTTCGTCTCTCTGCTCCTCCTGCCTTAGTACCGGACACGAACGCTGTCCGTGGGAGACGGGGGCTGGACGCCTGCCCTCCGCCGCTCCAGCCGGCCCAGGGTGACCACCATCCCCCAGGACCACCAGCCCATCCCCATGGACACAAGGGCCCCGAGGCAGGATGGGGTCAAGAGGGACGCAGAGGCTTGGGAGCCCCAAATAAGACTCCCACCAGATCCGGCTCTGTCCCCACACCAGAAGCCTGTTAGAGGTGCCCACGCCCTGCTCCTTACGTGTACACTCATACCCTCTCGCCAACAGGGGCTTCCAGTAAAGGTGAAAGGGCACCCTCTCCGCGCCCTGCACTCAGCCCTCACGTGCATTGGGAGGTAATCTAGAATGTTCTAGAAACCCCAGCAGCTCCCGGGTGTCTCAGAGCACACTAGGGGCCCAAGGCAGGCTGTTGGGGTGCCAGCACTCGCTTCGTCCTGCCGCACCGGTTTAACCTCCCAACCCGGCCATGCTCCTCTTCAAGGAGTCGGCTGAGTGTCCCACTGGCTGGGACTGGCCGACATGCACCTCACAGTCACTCCCTAATTCCATTTGCAAGGGACCCTCCGGAGGAGATCCTGGGCAGCAAGGGACGTGACAGGGCAGGAGCACCTGAGTCATCACTGGGGAGTGAGGCAGGAGGAGGAGGCTGGGGACAGGGCCCTCCCCCTCCACTAGGTGCCCCTTGCTGGCCGTCACATGCTAGGCCCTCCCTTGCTCAGTGCTGCGCCCCAGGAATCAGCATGTCTGAGACTCCCTGGGGTCCCGCACCCCATCTTCCCTGGTGGGTGAAGTGAGCCCCTAGCTTGGGGCCTCTCCTCCCATCGCCCCTTGTGACCTGGGCCGTGGGACAGCCCCCTGCTCCCAACTCAGCCCGATTTGTGCCCAGACACCCATGGGGCTCAAGCTGGATGTCTCACCCTCAGACTGCGGGGAGGGCCTGGCCGCCTGTCCCACTGCCTCCCTGTGACCTGCCGGTCAAGACAGTGCAGGGGAACCCTGGGAATCCCCCAGCCACATTTCCCCTTTCTTCTTGAGGCAGATTTCCCGGGGTCTTGGTGGGTAGGAGAGAGATGGTGAGGGCTTGAGCCGGACCTCGGAGCAGGAGCGTGGCGTCCTGAGACCCGGCCACAGCAGCGCTCCCTCCTCCCCTCTGCATTCAGGCTACCCTCAGTGCCCCCCGGTCTGTGTGAGCTCCAGGCTGGGCCCAGTGCGGTTCAGAGGCAAAGCAGCCGGGTCCTCCCCTAAGCAGGGAGCCACATCTATAAGCCAGAGATAAGTCACGTGGTGAGCACTTGCTTAGTGAGGGGGCAGAGGCTGGGCGGGAGGAAGGATGCGGCCCTGGGGATGGGGGAAAGGACATCTCTGAGAAAGAAGACAGTTGTGTAACATGGCTGGGAGTGCCTGGGGTCCATTCTTGGTGAGGCAGGGGGCTCGCACAGCGCAGGGCTGGCCGGGGCCCCCTCCCACAGGGCCACCATGCAGTCTTCAGGCTCATCGGGGGCAGACAGAGCGGACAGGAGGCCGATGGGCCAGCTCCCAGGTTGGGCCAGGTGGGAGCCCTGAAAGGCAGGGGACAGGGTGGGGAGGGTGCAGAGGGGGAGGGTGGGGAGAGGGGATACCGGAGACGCCCGGAGGCGGAAAGCCTATAGGAGGCAGCTCCAGCATCTGTGGAGAGGAGGGTGGATGGAGCAGACCCCACAGCATGGCCTCATGCCTGCAACAGAGGGGAAGGACGCAGGGTTAAGGGGTCAGAGCAGGGCCAGAGGGTGTGCAGGGCGCCTGGGGACTTCCCAGACATTGAGGGGTCGGCTCCTGGGAGCAGAACTGGGGGGACGGTCTGCCCCAAGCTCCAGACTGGGGTATCCGTTGCTGACCCCCATCCCCCTGCACCACTGCACCCCCCAATGGGAAGACCCTCCCCCCTCACCCAAAACCAGGAGCCTAGAG